AATATTCAGTTTTATGGTGCTACAAGAAGATTCATAAGAAAAGTGAAATGAAAAGAATTAGAAGCCAAGATTTGTTTTATTGTTCTTCAATAAATAAAAATTTGATTTTTAATATCTTATGTAGGTTCATATTAATAGTGCATAGTCAGAAAAAGAATAGTTGAAAGAACATCTTAAATTATAATATTATTCTTTTTCTGTGTGCACCCTGTAATGTACAGCTCAGATTCCCCAGCACAAAAGGATCCTTGCAGTTGTTGGGAGAGCTGTGGGCATATGTTTGTCAACCATCAGTTCTTTCAGAGAGTATTACAGCTACAGGAGGCCATCTCTCCAAAACTGTACTCCTTATTATATTAGCTGATGTCCAATGACTAATCTCCAAGAGATTATAATGGATTAGTCATATTGGCTCAACCAGGGACAACATTGAAGGGCTATTTCTCCTCAAGTCTGCATTACAGTCCAGTGGGTATCCTATGACCAATCCAGCCTCTGTTCCCATCTTCTTTATGTGCTAATCCCAGGGAGCCCCCAAATAAACATGCTGCACGACAATGCCATCATAAAGTCTATTTCCCAGGGAAACAAACTGTGGCATAGTCTTCTAAATAGAAGACTCAGAAAACATGGGTAAAAACAAATATTTCTCACTTATCTCTCAATAAAAACTGTGCTAAGTATACTGAAATGTAAAGGTCAAGTTGCTATTTTGAAATGCCTAATCAGGAAGTGCTCTCCTGGGTGATCATGGACTAGTACTTACAAAATGACAACTGAACAAAAGCTTATCTTCACATCTACTGCTATGATTAACTGGAGAAGCAAAAAATTCACCTTTTCATTGTATTCAAAACACCAGGCAAGAACAATTTTGAGGAAGAAAAACTAGTTTTGGACTCAAGAATATCAGAGGCTCAGTCTGTTGTTGACCAACCCCGTTGTTCTGGGCATAAGGTGAGGAAGAACGCCACGTTGAAATGGTGTGTCAGAGAAAGCATCTTTCACTCAGGGCAACCAGAGAAGGATGGAGGGGGCAAATATTGAGTCACCAGGGACTAAATATAATCCCCAAGGGCATGGCCCAGTGACCTGCTTCTTCTAGCCACATCCCAACTCCATACTGTTACCACCAGTGATCTATTCAAATTATTAATCAACCGTGAATTGATCCACTGATGAGGCTACAGCTTTCATAATCTAATCACTTCACCTCTGAACATCCTTGCATTGCCTAACACAGGAGCTGACTTCTAGGGCTTCACTGGGTATAACCTATATGGCATCTCTCTTAAATGGGTTCTCCTGTCTTTCTGCAGCTTTCCTTGAAAGATTTCACATTACTGGCATCTCTTAATTCTGGAGTTTCCATTCCAGTTTCAACTTTATTCTCATGGCTTCATTCGTACCATCTTAAGGGAAATACTCAGAGATTCTGATTCTGCTAAACTTTGCCTGGCTTCGGAGGCCTTCCTTGAAATAATGGTAGAAAATTCTATCTATCATGCCCAAACTCGAGCATCTTGCATTTCTGCACAACTCGTACCACGTGGAGTGCTAAGGTCTACTGCCAGCTCAAGCAGTAGCCAAGTCTCCTTTTACCATGGCTGCAGCAGCCTCTTGGTGGGTAGGTAGGTGGCTGAGCATGGTGAACCAAATTCTGGGGAAACAGCTTTTTGGGTGTCCCTAATGCATTTTTCTCAAAGCTACATCTTTCAAAAACAAGTTTTCATTTTTACAATCTTGATCCTGCCATGGGTAGAATCTTCCTGATCCCTGAGATGTCCTCATGGTATCTTTCCTACATAGTACAAAGTACTGTCAATATGCAAGGTACTCTCTAGTGACAGTAATCTCTTCAACAACCACCTCTTTCTTGATTCCTGTAAATCCTTTTCTAACCAAACTGCAAGATTTTAAAATCTTTTTCTCTGCTTTCTGCTCCCAATTATCACAATAAAACTGGCTAAAAGACAGGTTTATCTTGATAATAAATACCCATGCCACTGCCTAAATAACAGTGCTGCCTTAAAATTTCTTCTAACAAATTAATTAGCAAATCATCTTCAAATTCAGCCTCATACGAAGTCGCAGCACATGAGCAAAATGTGAAGAATTTCTCTGCTAGAATGAAACATATGGTCTCTAGTCTAAATCCCAACAGAATTCTTGTTCCCCTCTTTTGAGTCTGCATTACTGTTAGCATTCTGGTCATCTGAGCCCCCACCAAAATCACCCATTAAGCTCTGCTTACAATATTCTAAGTCTCCTCCAGCCTGCATCTTACACTTTTCCAAACTCCTTCCACAAACCAGTTCCAAAGTCTTCTGAGCCAGATGGTCAGGTTAGTCACATTAATTATACACTGATGATGTTTCAGCTTTCATAATCTACTAGTTTCAACTCTGAACATTCCTGCATTGTCTTACACAAGAGCTTTAGGGATGACATTCATATATCCAAAACATAACACAAGGAGAGGACACGTATAATTTTGCCAAAATTATCTAAACTTTTAATGGCTTAGAAATGTTTTTCTAGTTTCTTGAAATTGGCAATTATCCAGATATATATCTGGGATAATGCAATAGACACTGAGAATGAAAAGTTTATAAGCATTTGTTTAAGAAATTATTTGGAAGCAATGCAGTATAAAGAACAACAATTTATGTAAATCAAAATTATTAGTGAAGAGTAGTTTGTTTGCCCTCCTTTAAACAAAACTTAACATAAAGCAACTATTATAATAATTTAATTCTAATTAACTATTTTCATGATTCTATTATACTTTGTTTCAAACCATGTCTATGGAACAAAGCCAGAAGATTTCCTTCCAGTTACGATTGGAGGGAATTCTAATATTTCACAGAGAATGGAAGTGTTGTCAATGGAACTTGATATGCTATATCTCAAGAAGTAAAATGCATAAGTCTTGTTTGTTTGTTTTGTTTTATCATGCTGAGGATTGAACACAGAGCCTTAAGCATTCTCTGCAAGTGGTCTACCTCTGATCTATTCTCCAAGCCCTAATGCATAGACTTTAAAGAAGAAATCCTCGATATTTTCTTCACATTGAAACAAAAATGTGTACAAGATATTAAGTATCAATCGTATCCTCTCTCAAATAGATGTATATTAAAATTCTAAACCTCAGTGCCTCAGAATGTGAACGTATGTGAAAATAGGGTCTTTAAGTGGTAATGAAGTTAAAAATGAGACCATCAGGGTGGACTGTAATTCAATTTTACTATGAAAAGTGTCCTTCTAAAAAGGAGAAATTTGGACAAAGACACAAGCATGACTAGAGGGAACACTCTGAAGAAGCACAGAATCAAGTGATGAAGATTGAAGTTATGTTGCCACAAGTCCACAAACACCCGGGCTACCAACAGCTGACAGTCATGAGAAGGACTCTTCCCCTACATGCTTCAAAGGGAGCATGGCCCAGCTGTGAATTGATTTCAGAATTCTAGCATCCAAAACTGTAAAAGTATTGTTGTTCTAAGTCACTCTGCCTCTTTGTTATGGCACTTCCAGGAAACTAATCTATAACCCAAAACATTTAAAAACTGATTGTCACATTTTTAGGTGTTTCAACCAAATATTGTTACATGGTTCGACTTCAGAAATTAAATCTAATTATCCAAAAACATAGTACATACACATTTATATATATATACATATATATGATAATCTATATATGATAATCTATTTTATATGGAAATGGTTTTGAAGAGCACAGTTGCAAATTATTATAATATTGTATGAGTCCTTTCTTATGGAAAGTATTGTGCCAAATTGAAGCATCAGATTTTACACAAAACCATGCCCTTGAAGGAAGTTCAGTCTAAGGTCACCCTGAGCAACTATAAATTTCAGCCTGAGTTTAAGGAATAGAGAAATTGAGCATTTGTTCCAGTTCAGGCAACAATTTCTTTGCAGTTAACTGTATTTCACTACATAATAGTTGCAGATTTTATGCCAATTTTTTCTTCAAAAAGGTCAGGTGCAACCACTACATGAAGCTTTTTTTTTTTTAATTATGCCAGCTTTACTTAAAAGTTATTTGTTACTAAAAACTGTCTTTGTTGCAAAATCAGTTTGCATGGAATACTCATGAATGTTCAGACTGACTAATGAAAATTGATACACATAATTTTTTCATAACAGTTTAATGAACACTTTTCTGTTCTGAATAAAAAAAGCACATTAGTTGTTATTGAGTTGTTCATTGTAGTTGAAATACTGCACTTGAGAAAATTTACTAGAGTGTTGCAAAGTTTGGACTTAAAAATTCTAAGGTCCTGCATCTAAGATTCTGCACCACTGTCTTTGATTTACTGATCTGACTGTGCTGTCCTTACATGTCCACTCATATAAGATGTGGTTACCATTAGTACTGCGGCTCTCTAAACAAATCTCCAAAGTCCACCTTCAGAAGTATCCTAAAAATGCACTGAGAATTTTAGGCTAGTGGCTTACAATGCACAAGAAGGCAAATGTAAGTCCAGATGCAAATGTAAATATATTGCTGCTCCATTTATCTTTTAAGCAGTGTGAAGAACAGAATTATACCAAGTCACAACTATGCAATGAAAGGTTATAAACAAATTTTTGAAATGAAAAATCCGGATGTGACAATTACGAGGTTGCAACATTTATGCAGTGAAATATGGGAATACAATTGGATGATTCAAAGTAGCATAATGTTAATAAATTCACTTCCTTAGCTCAAACTGTCTTCTTTTTAGTAATGGTGATATCATTCATTCCTAACCAAACATATTAATCGTCCTGATGATTAGGTTAAAAGATGTGGAGTGAAGTGATCTGGGTGATGGTTTTAATTTTTAAAAGAATCAAGAAAAACAGTGGAAAAAAATCATTCTCAATTTTTAAAAATAATGATTAATTATTTGTACCCCTCAAGCATGATTTAGATCTCCAGTAACATATTGGTATATCACACTATGTAAATTATTTCAAATTCATCAGATAACCTGCTGGGCTCCACATTCTGGCCTCTGCCATCACTTCGTAAACTAAGGGGAAATGATGACTGCCCGAAGGTTACATCAAGCTTGGAAATAAGCATAGAACTTATCAGTGAAAAGACACCGAGGAACCGGTGAGCCTATCTGTGATAATAATCATCTCTGGCTGGGAATCCTAAGTGTCCATTATGAACCAGTTTTTCTTTATAAAAAAGGCTATCACTTGTCACTAAGAGAAAACATAAGCATTATAAACAACCCAACACTGCCCTTTGAAGAAAAAGGGCCTGGAATAGTTTGGGAAATGGACCCATTTCATCAAATTTTGGCTTTTTCATATTGCTGTGGTCTAATCATTCACTGTTTGGATTTAACAATAGCACTCAGAACTAACTAATGTCCCAAAGATCTCAGTGCTTATACCCAAGCAGCCATATGTCAGGAAAATACAATCCCTTCAAGGACCATGTATCCCCTTCCTACTCATGCACATGAATATCATCCCAGGACAAGAGGAATGAATGAGATGTTTTCATTTTATTTTTATCTTTTTGCACTATTTTGTGTATTAACATATATTTTAATATGTTTAACATTACCCATGTTAAATTGATTTTAGGTTATTCTTGAAGGAAAAACATCCCAAGCAATCAGTTGTGATAACAGTGATTTTATAATACTCTTAAGGTACCTGTAAATAAATTATATTAGTTAGTTTATACTTTCAACCTTGACATTTTACTGGCAGACAGGTTTAACTAGAATCATGACTTGTTATTTTGTGTAGGTGATGGAAAAAGAATATGCTGAAGACAATTATAATCTTTTAACAAATTACTTAGTAAAGCAGTGACCTCTGAAAGAGAGAGGGGCATGAAGACAGAGAGAAAGAAAGCGGGGTGCGGGGAGGGCAGCTATTAGAGCTAGCACACTAAAAGTGAAGCAGAGAGTAAAGCAATGTATAAATTGAAAATTCTCAATACATTCAGAACAATGAGCAATTTTAGAAATCAAACCTAACTATCGGGACATTCATTGTGTTTTCACATCCATTTGATGCCTGCAAATCCCTCAAAATGATTAAAGGTATTCAATGCTTTTGTTAAGTAGTGTTTAGCTATTCCCATTCTGGTTGTAAATTGCACATCATCAGTAATCCTGTACTTATCAGTTCTGAAGGGCCTTCTGCTATCAAATAAGGCTGTTGGCTAGAGAAAAGCTTAAAACTGAGCAATACTTTTATTTATTTTTTTCTGTTCTCTATAGATCAGTAAAAGAATGATGCCTTAGTCTGTACCTGGAAAAGGGCAAAGTTCTGAAGGGAACATGACCTTTGATCTGAGGTTTAAATTAATTGGCATTTCCACATGGTCAGAATGGGCAAATAGGGGAGGATATAAAAGTAAGAAGCTATATAGGTTGTTTTTAAAAGCATAAACTACTGTCCTAGGCAAGGATTCCAATTCTAGGTTTCCTGCCTACTGGATGTGTTATCAAAGTTCTTTCTTGAACATAAGTTCTCTGTGTATTAAACAAGAGCTTAAAATGACTGAACTCATCACAATGTTGAAAGACATAAATTGCATAATGTATGTTGTCATAAAGCAGAAAGTATCTAGCATAGAGCAAGTGTGCACTAAGTGTTAACTATTATTACCATCATCATCCTCACACTAGAGTCTTTTGATATGTGCATTCAATTCACTGTTTATTTTTCAAGTGCAAATAGACCAATAAAGACAATGGACATTAAAATAATAGAATTCCCAGTAGATATAATAAAGTTTGGCATATTTCTGAAACACTTTTATTTTGAAATAATTATTAAATACATTAATAAATCATTACATGCATCAATCAATAATCTCAGTTAACTATTTAAATTGTTTTTAGTTTTAGTCTATAGAAATTTAATCAGATATTAACCCTTGGATATTATCAGAGATTTAAGACAAATTAATTTTCCTCATTTCAGAGATTTTTATTTTACTTTGTTTTCCTCGCTGTGTTAATTTGGATTTTTATACTTTTTTTGTGACAGCACAAAATAAAAAATATTCTCAAATTTGAAGTGATACTTATGTATTATAAAAAAGAGAAGAATTTAGAGGATAAGAGTGAGACAATCTAATGTATATTAGATTGGAATTATAGAATGAGATAATAGAATAGAGAAGAAGTTGGAAATATAGTGATCAAGAACTTTACAGAATTTTTTGAACAATCCCAATCTTCAGATACAAGAATACTAGTGAATCCCAAGCTGGAAACAGAGAGAAAGGAAAAGGAAAAGGGAAAGACAGAAGAAGGGAGGGAGAGAGTCCACAATTGATACATTAATTATGAAACTGAAGAACATTAAAGAAAAAGAGAAGATTGAAACAATATCAAATCTCTCTCTCTCTCTCTCTCTCTCTCTCTAAATATATATATATATTTATCTCTAAATATATATATATATATCTCTAAATATATATATATATATTGCCACAATTTCTCAGTCCATTTATCTAATTCCCCCATTCTGGCACAATAATGAGTTATGCCAAGGGTTTATTTATTCATGGCCTTTTAGGTTTAGATTTCTCCCCTTTTTGAATTGGCTTTATCCTTGATACTTTAATAAAGAGAATAAAGAGAGAGTTTGATGATCCAGACTTAATTCTTGTCTTCTACTTTAGCCTCACTGAGAACTCAATTACTATCAGCAAACAGTTCTTAAAGATCTAATATGTGTAAAATTTAGTAGGTTCACAAACAACACCATTTCCCCTTAGCACTTATTTTCCTGTTTGAACAACTGATAATTTTTTCCAAATTTTTTTCAGTAAGAGGATTCAAATTCTCTCCAGATTACTCTATAGAGATAATAATTTTTGTTAAATTGTTTTAGGTGAACAAGGACATTTTTTACTCTCATCTTGACCAGAGGGAAAATACACATGATTTGAGATTTATATAGTTGTGATTCAAGTAGACTATAAACTTTTTGATACATTATTTTAGTCGTTTATTATATTATTATAAACATTTCCATATTATCTAATTCTGTGCTGGCACTTGGTATCTGTTAAATGAACACTGGATTAAATCAAATAATAATACATCTTTGATAGCATTTATTTATAAAAAATACTAGTGATGAGAAAACACAATTGTTTTTCAAATCAGACTCACAAAAATCATAATATCTACAAAGTATCACATTTTATTACTAATTTCAAGGATACACAAAACTAAACAAAGATGAAGCAAGAAGTCTTGGATCAATACAAGAGCTTTGGAGGTGCTTCTTTGTTATATCAGGATATATCCTAGGTCCCTTGGAGTCAATGAATTCTCTAACTGTTGTATATATCACCTGTTGCAAAAAAGGCTGTTTAGAATTTGAAACAATATGTTCATTTCTATGAAGGCTGTATCAAGTCTCCACAAATTCTATTTATTTATTTATTTAACAAATTAGGTTGTGTGTTCACAGTTTCCAGAGATTAGAATGTGGACATATGGGGGAGGGGTATTATTTTGCCTGCCACAACCATCTCAATTTTATGATCCAATTTGAACAAAATGTGTAACATTTTTAATAAATACACAGAGCCCAATTTTGTCTAGCATAGACGAATCTAGATAGACCAAATATCTTCAGCTAAAATTAACAACTCTTTCTTTAGCAAATACCACTTAGAATACTTCTAGGAGATTTAAACAGGCTGAATTTTCTTTTGCTTTCCTGGGATAACTTCGTAAAAGGACAGAATGTGTTGTGGGTCTATTACAAACCCCTGTTCTCCCAAATGCTATTCCATGGTACTTAGAAATCTTGGTTTATTTGCATGACTTTATATCAAACGAGATATTATATGGTACATTAACGTTTGAAAGAGCTGATATGTAATACTATATGTAAATCAATAGTTGAATAATAAAAATATGAATTTACATATTTAACTTCCTTGCTTCATATACAATATTAAATCAATGATCTATCCTTTCAGATATAGAAGATATATATGTACAGTATAATGTGAATAGTATTCATATATAATATTCACATATATAGATTCATATATAATATGCCTTATATATACATATATATGAATATTCTAGTCTTTTGGTCACATGGTTCTGAACCTTACTCCAACTCTGATAAGTAAAAAAAAAAATTATGGAAAATATATCTAGGACCCTTAAGAGTGGACACTATTTAATGGCTCTGATCTTTAATCCTCTTGAAGATTATGGAACTGATCCTATCTAAGGTCATATGCCTTAAAGGAGTTTGTTTCCATATAATATATTGAGAGAGCATCCTCATTTGCTATTTTGTGTTAGAATGCCCTAGCTTATATTGGCATGTCAGTTGATTAAAATCAATTTCTCACTTTAATAAGGTCTAACAAATTATTATTCATTTAAGAACAGAACCTCTTTGAATTTAGAAACGTCCTAATATAAATTTCCTACCCAGAAAAATCCATATCTAAGTACTTACTACTTTGCTTCCTTTCTCAATTAATTCAAGACTACCAATCAATAATCTCAGTTAATTATTTGTTTTCAGTTCTTGTCTAAAGGAATTTAATCAGATGTTAATTCAAGATTGTACACACATCAATCTCTGCAGAAAACATCTTTATTTGAAATAGCAATTCACCATCATCTGTTTTTCTACTTATCTTTATTTGTATTTCACTTAAATTTGTTTAAATTTCACTTAAATATTTTAAATTGTATAAAAAAAATTGTCTAATATAATACTGGCATATTGTTATGTTATATAATTGATACTTAAAGCAACCTATTGTGCAGAGAATTTACCTGTGTGGCAAGGTATCCACATCCTAGTACAGAAACTGTGAACATGTTATGTGTGAACACATGGCAAAAGAAATTTTGCAAATCTGATAAAGATCTGAAAATGAGGACATTATTCTGGATTCTCTAGAGAGTGGGGCACCATGCAAGTAAGCCCAAGAATTCTTATAAAACAGAAGTATGATGTTAACAACAGTGAAGGTAATATGACAACAGAAAAAAAAATGAGGGATCAGAGGATGCTATGCTGCTGGATCTGAAGGTGAAATTAGAGGCCACTAGCTAAGAAATGCCAGTAGTCTTTAAAAGTTGGCAA